ATCATTAGTGAATATGTTCTCCCATTCAGTAGGTTGTCTTCGTTTTGTTGACAGTTTCCTTTGCTGAGCAAAAGCTTTTTAGTTTGATGTAGTCCCCACAATTTTATGTTGTTTTCGTTGCCTTTGCTTTTGGTACAAATCCAGAAAAATCATCGCCGAGATGTGTTAAGAAACCTACCCCCTTTTTCTTCTAGGATTTTATGGATTCAGGTTTTACTTTCAAGTCTTTCATCCATTTTGAGTTAATTTTCGTGTATGGTGTAAGAGAGTGCTCCAGTTTCTTTTTTTTTGCATGTGGTCGTACATTTTTCCCAGCACCACTTGTTGAAGAGATTTTCCTTTCCCCACTGTATATTCTTGGCTCTTTTGTGATAAATTAATTGACCATATATGCATGGGCTTCTTTCTGGGTCCTCTGTATTCTGTTCCATTGATCTATGTGTCTGTTTTTATGCCATCAAATTAAAAAAAAAAGTTTTTAAATGTCACTAAACCTGTGTTTTTTCCTTGTGACTATTTCTAAGCTCAGTCCATCTCCTCTGGTTCCCTGAGACTGCTTCCCCTCAGGGGAAGACTTAATCTTCATGAGAAAATTGAGGCCATCAGTTTTGCTTTTCCTCGGTTGTGACATAGCGCCTGTCCCCATTCTTACTCCCGCACCTTCCTTCTCACGTGAAGAAGTGTCCCGTGTCATGGGCAGGGCCGATTCTTCCACATCTGCTGCGGCCCCTCCTCTCCTTTCCTCACCTGGACCCTTCCTTCTTGGCCTGTTCCTCTTTTGTGTTTCTGCTTTCCCCTCTCTACTGGCCTCTGCTTTTCCAGCCCATAATAAAAGATAGCTAACACTGTTCTTTAGAAAAGAGATTTCTTCCCCAACCTTGGCTGCTCCAGCTGCTTTTCTCTCTCCCATGCTTTGTTCATAGTGGAGTTCCTAGAGGTCACCCTCTGCCCGCCTCTGCCATTCTCCTGAAGCCGATGTGACAGAAGCTACCAGTGTCCTTACAGTCATTCAGTGCACCTGGTTCTTTCTAGTCCTTACCTCTAAATCCAGGTAGCTAGTGGAGACTTCATCCTCATGCCCTGGTCAAGAGAGGAATGACCAGAGCCGGCACTGTGGCAGTGTGAGAGAAGGACTTCCCCCAGACCCAAGTCTCTCTAGCCCACTGTGTCCTCTCCCTATGTCTGGACTGGACTGTAACCTTCCAGCTGTCCCCATGCCTGGGGCCTGCCCCCATCAGTGAGCGGCAGTCAGGCTCTGATACCAGCGAGCGGAGCAGGAACGTGGGACCAGCCTGCCTCTTTGGTTAGGGACATGCCTTTTGTCTGCCCCTCTCTACTCTTTCCCTGATGACCACTGATGTTCCACTTGCCTAATTTACATTGCTTCATTAATGCCTTTTCATCAGAGCCTCCCTTTTTTGGAGACTATGCTAGAGGAAAAATGCCTTCCGCACCCCTCTCCCACCGTGGGTGATTTTAAGAATGAATCCTTAAAAAAAAAAAAAAGGAATGAATCTGAGGCCGAAATGTGTGTACGCACATGTACACACACTTCGGCCTCAGATTCATTCCTTTTTTTTTAGGATTCATTCTTCAGGCTGCTGCTGAAGTGCTTGATCTTCTCTGCCTCAGGGTCAAGTCCACACTCTTGGAGCAGGCCTTGTAGGACTCTCTGCCTGACCCTCCCCTCCCCCTTTACCACCTCTCCTTTCATGTCTTGATTTGCTCAGACAACATAGATGGTAGCCCGCCCTCTCTTACCTTCAGGTCCTCCCCAGCCTACGGTGGGAAGACAGCTTACTCCTTTGCACCTTCCCCTCTCCCACCGTGGGTGATTTCTGTCACTTCATTGTGTGTTTTCTTCCACAAGGCTGAAGGCGCTTCGTGGGCCTTGATTTCCCCATTCCCAGCCCAGCGCCTGGCAGGAAGAAAGTGCCGAATAAATGCTGGCCTGAGGCATGGTAGTCAGAGACGAAGTGTGCGGGGAAGGAGGGAGCTGTAAAATAACAATAAGCCCTAACGTGGACGGAGCTCTTGCAATATCCCAGGCATTAGGATAAATGCTTGACAGTCTTCTCTCCTAGTCCACAACAAAGCTTGCTGAGGCGTAGACACTATTATCCACAGTAAAGAAACAGGAGTTTAACTCGTCTGTTATGTTAAGGAGCTTGGACTTATCGTTAGGCTTTTTGACTCCAAAGAAAACAACCAAATATTAGAAGGTTTAAAGAGATGATAAGATTTTCTTTCTTTTAAAAAAAGAAACACAAATCTCCTTCCTCTTAAGCCTGAGGAATGTTTTTTGTTTTCATAATTAAATCCTTCTAGACCCAATTTCTTTACCCTTTCCTATTAGTCTATTACTCTCTGGGTCTCTGTAACAAGACCATTTCTATCGCGCACATCGAATAGGGAGGTTAATGTGGGGGCCTTGGTAGGCAGGGCTATCGTCTGTCACTTGAAGAAAAGGGGGGAGGGTTGCTCACATTTATTGCCATGTACTATGCTAAACGTCCTGCTGGCATTTGTCATTTTAATCCTCACAACAACCAGGTACTGTTATTGTCCCCATTTTTCAGAGAAGGAAACTGAACATCTGGTTTCCTGGACCACTCGGCTAGTGAGAATCATGGGCAGGGCTTGAACCTCTCTGACCCTGAGTTCTGTGCTCTTAGGCTCAGGCCACTGCTTCTCACTTTCGGGGGCCTTTCTCCTGTAACCTGGGTCTTTCTAGGATTTTGCTAACCTCTACTTCATGACCCTTTGGAGCCCAAATGACTGCCTAGCAGATATATCATCTCCTGGAGACAATTGTAACTTCACAGGATTACCTGGGCTGCCTTAGTTCTAGAGCTGAGCCTTTAGTTTGCTTTCAGATGGTACCATCATTTCACATCTAAGACACACTCACACTGTCTTTAGTCTCTTTAGTGAAAACAGCATATACAGAGCTGTTTTATATAGGACGGTCCTGTTGTTCTAACTTAGCCCTCCCTGTGGTTTCTAGCAAGCGTAAGGGTTACAAAGGGCAGAGGGAGGACAATGGGCTGCAAAAGGCAAACGGGAACATGGCTAAACGTTTTGATCCGTCACATCCAGGATATGAAGCGACTTAAAAATTAAATCACCTAGAAATTTTGATGGTGTACTTTCTGAAAGTGTTTATGGTTATAAACAAAGTAAATAAAATTTTTTCCCCTAATAGCATTGCTAGAATGTAGGACCTGATATCATTAAATAGCCTCACAGAAAGTTCTTGCCATGCCTTTTAAAAAGCCAGCAGATTTCCAACTTTCTCATAATAATGTCACTCTAAACACCCAAAAGTCTAAATGTAATTTTCCCTTGTGTGCCTGTGTTGTGGGTATTTGTCTCAGGGAAAACTTTGTGTAGGTTCAAGATGGGCTCTTTTCATAACAAATGCTACACTTGAGTGAGGTTGAATTATAAATGGAAACATATGTTTTCCATAAAATGGTAGTAGTAGCCAAAACAGTATTAAAATTTTTTTAATTTAGTCTCAAAGTATTGTTTGAAAGGGAGAAACACACTAGATTCTCTGTTCCTGTAAAATGAAGCCCAAGTGCTGAGGTGGGGTGCTGGGTAAGCAGGAATTCTTATAAATCATAATTCTGAAGAGTGGGGCCCAACGTCTAACCACTTTGGGTTACAGCCCTTAAATATCTCTCTGGGCTGTGTGGTCATTCTGTTGTAGAAATGGACACTACCTAGACCCTGCAGACATCGTCTTGTTTCCTAGAAGCATACAGACTCTTGGATGAGTTGAGGATTCTTTTCTAAAACTGCCCATCCTGCGTAGTTGATGAGAGAAGGAGATACCTCTCAGCTCCTGAGTGGAACATTCTTGCCTTCCTCTCCTTGCCCGGAGGTCCCTATTTTGCCTGGGGGAGGAAGAGGGAGTTGTCACAATGCAATTTTAGGAATGTTAGAAGCTGTGCTTTGGCTCACCCACTGCTGGTGGAGAACTCACTAAGGTCTCTGTGGAGGGCAAAGGATCAGATAAGAAAGCAGTCATTCCTCATAGGCTGAGAAATGTGAAACCTTGGGAATTCTTGCTGATGAATTTTATTCCCTTCTAGTCTGAGAAACCCTCTTTCTTCCTAGCAAGAGACACATGGACTAAGTCACTGATGGTGTGAACAATATTTGAGATAAATGTAACTGTCAGATAGTTGCCTAAGAGTTCTGCAAGGGCACATGGTGACTGGAAGCAACTGAGTCTGTATTTTAATTCAGTGGAACATATTCAGACTCCTCTGGGGCTCAACACGTCTGTAGCCATGGGCTCAACGCTACACTATTAGTAATTGTGTGTGTTTGTGTCTGTGTGTCTGTGTGCGCGTGCGTGTTCGTTCTTGAGCAATTAAAGCATTTCTCCAAAATTTCTGTTTAGTGCAAACACTAAGCCCAAGTCAGAAATGTTTATGAAGACATTAGCGAAACACTCTAATGGGAGGGTGCTTTTTCTAGGCATTCTGAACACCATTTCTAAACATGGCTGAGAAAAATCACGTTGGGTGTACGGTGTCTCAATAAAAGGGACCTTTCAGGCTAATTAAGAAAGCTGGAGCCTCAGCAGATTTTTGAGCAACACTCTTGTTAACTGAGGGAGCAACAGGATGGAAATGTGGAAATGTTTGAAGGGGGTGATTTTCAAGGTTGTGAACAATGAAGCACCTGAAGAAAATGCTTCCATACGAATTCAAAGAGAGATACTTTTTAATTTTAAGCAAAACTTGGACTCTCAGACCTTCTAGTTTTTTAATAAATTGGCTTTTGGGCATCCACATTAAGCCTTTTATTTGCTCCTGTTGATGCAGAAGCAAATGGTGAAAATAAAGAGGAGAAGGGGTCAATTTTGCCAGAATGTGTGCAGCAGAAGCATTCATTGTCTCGGGCTTCTGGTAAAATGTTTACTCTGTACGCTAAGCGCTTTGACCGCGCCGGGCACCCAGTGACCAGCTCCCTTTGTTTTCCAGCTGACTCGGGTGCGGACACTTTGGCGGTGTTTATGGCCAGCAGCGGAACCACAGATGTCACGAATCGCAACAGCCCGGTCACACCGCCGAACACCCTCAATCTCCGTTCCTCCCACAATGAACTGCTGAACGCCGAAATCAAACACACAGAAGCCAAGAACAGCACCCCTCCCAAATGCAGGAAAAAATATGCACTAACTAACATCCAGGCAGCAATGGGCCTCTCGGATCCAGCTGCGCAGCCCCTGCTGGGAAACGGCTCCGCCAACATCAAGCTGGTGAAAAATGGGGAGAACCAGCTCCGCAAGGCTGCGGAGCAGGGACAGCAGGACCCCAACAAGAACGCCAGCCCCACCGCAGGCATCAACATAACTTCTGAGAAGTTAGAAGGTAAAGAGCCCCGCCCACAGGACTCCCCAGGCTGTGAAATTTTACCCCCCCAACCCAGGAGAACCAAGAGCTTCCTAAATTACTATGCAGACCTGGAAACCTCAGCCAGGGAACTGGAGCAAGACCTGGGCAGCCAGCATGGGCTTGTGGAAGAGAAGTCCCAGCCCGGCCAGGGCCAGGCCTCCACCATCATTGGGAATGGTGATTTGCTGCTGCAGAAACCAAGCAAACCCCAGTTCAGCCCCGAAGACGGCCCAGTAGCCACAGTGTCATCCAGCCCGGAAACCAAGAAGGATCATCCTAAAACGGGGGCCAAAACAGACTGTGCCCTGCACCGGATCCAGAACCTGGCACCCAGCGATGAGGAGTCCAGCTGGACCACACTGTCCCATGACAGTGCCTCACCCAGCTCCCCGGATGAAACAGGTACCCCTGGGAAAGGTGTCGGAGGGTGGTGCTTTCTTTTGGTGTTTTCAGTTATTGATGGAATTCGTCTCTATACTGACCCCAAAAATCCATTTGTAGTATAGGAGAACATGATCCGTTTGGTGTAAAATTGGGCAATTTGTGTGGAAAATATTGTTAGATTCTTCAACAGTTTCACTTGGTTCATACATAAGGTGTTTTTTCTGGGAAGCATTTTTGAAAAAGAAATAGGTCCTTGGTGGTAAGGACAGTAAAACATCATCTATCTAGAAACTATACTGCCAGTGCTCAGGTGAACTATTTCTGTGTACTATCTAGAAATCTTGGGTTTTGTTAAGCAAAATAGTAAAAAATACAATTGCCAGGGACAGGATATAACCCGATTAAGAGAACCAGCTATTTTAAAGTTCTCAGCAGAACTTACTTATGCTCAAACTACTAAAAGTTAAAATTCTATTTATTAAAAGATATTTCCTTTTTGACCTTTACTGGGGAACACTTTATAAGCTTTGTTCAAGTGACTTTTGAAAATGAGAAAGTGGTGTTTCTTTTAAAATATATTCAGCAGGTTCGGATTTTAGACTAGTCTAATCGACTTTTGTCCATATCTGTAACGTCTTCAGATTTGTCAGAGGAGTCAAAATTGTGACAGAAATGAACAGAGTCCTAAAAGTTAGCTACTTTTAACCTCGCAAAGGCTATTGCTGTAGCACACCTTGTCGCTACCCCGGTGGGTCCCAGGGCTATGTGAGTGTGATACACGTACAACTACCAGAGAAGGAAATAACATTTTCCCAACCTATAAGGCAGAGAAACTACAAGGACTATGGATAAGGAAAGGAGAGGGGGAAAGTTAAGACATTAACTTGTTTGGAAAAAAGAAAAAGTTTTTGAAATGCCCTTTAAAATCACAGTACTTTAAATGGTAGCATTCATCAGCCTGCTGCAGCTGGCAGTGGCAGTGTGGAGGTTGAGGTGAGTCTGTTTCATCTTGTAAATATCTAGACCTGCACGTTATTGGGATCATAATTATGTTTAGTAATGTTACTGAGTTCACAACTCTATTACTTTTATCCACTGAGAGAATTCATATCCTGTAGCCGATGGCCACTGTCACCTGCGAGAGCGTGAATCTATATAGATAACTTGAGCGTCTCACATCCAAAATGGGCCTCCTGTTTTCACACATCCCTCCCCCAGCCGCCCTGCTCTTCCAGACCTGGTGTTCTCCGTTGTAGTTAAATGTTAAATTTTACTGGAAGTTATATAATGAACAGTAAAGTCTCCCCTGTTCCTCACTCTAGCCCCTTTCCCAAATGATGACCATTACCTTTTTTTCTTAAAGCATTTTCTTTCAGAAAACATTTTATGCATATACCCACATTTATAATAAATTTTAAAATTTACCCAAATTTTATAATGATATTTTTAAAGTCTTTACTTTTTAGAGATATACTAATATACTACTATATATAATATAATATATAATGTAACATAATATAATATAAACTGATATAAATAATATTGTGTATGGACTTTCTCCAAAATAATTGGGGTGGGGATTTAAAAAAGAAACAAAATTGCCCATAAGCTGATAATCATTAAAGGTGGGTACATGAGGGTTCATTATTTTGTTCTCTCAAATTTTATATGTTTAAAATTTTCCACAATAAAAAGTTAAAGCAAAAAAGATTACTCACATTAGATTGTTTTATAAATGCTTTGCTTTTTCCACATAAATATATATTTTGTAGAGCAGTCCATATCAGGACATAAACCTTTTTTTTTTTTACATCAGGCTTTTTGAATATTAGGTATGCTAGTCTATTATATTCAAGCTCTGTGATTTATTTAACAGTCTCCTCGCTGCTGAAGGTTAGGTTGTTTCCATCGAGCCCCTTCGCGTATGGGGGGCTGGTGTCCGTAGGGCCTGTGGGGAGCTCTAGTTTAGCTGAACACACGCAGCTGCTCCATCTCTACGACTCTGCCCTCGCCGGGTCCCTCTGCTCCCGGCTCCTCTGCTCAGTGGCCTGGCCTTGCTTCCTGTGGACTTCGCCACACAGCTCATTACAGCGCCTGACGCGGTGTGAACTGGATTAGTGTTCTGACACGTTGAGAGGATATGTTTGTTTTTCTCTCTTACAGTTGGTTTTGAAGACCTTTGAATTTTAAAGTATTGGTGACAATATGGTGATGGCCCTTAATGGGTTGCTAAGGATAGGCATTTAAAAAAAATTTTTTTTTAAATTCTCACCCAAGGATATTTTTTTTATTGCTTTTAGAGAGAGTAGAAGGGAGCGAGAAAGAGACAGAGAGAGAGAGAAACATTGATGTGAGAGAGACACATTGATTGGTTGCCTTCCGCAGGAGCCCCAGCCAGGGCCAGGGATCCAGCCTGCAACCGAGGTACATGCCCTTGGCTGGAACTGAGCCTGGGACCCTTCAGTCCGAGGGCCTATGCTCTAACCACTGTGCAAACTGGCTAGGGCTAAGGATAGACATTTTGAATCGAATATACTGGGAAGAGTGTGTTAGCTGTGACTCTAAAGCAGTGAGATTGAGTTTTTGAAAAGCATACTGAAAGCCAAATCTGTATTGTCCTTCAAAATGGTCCCTTTGGGATCTCTGTACCTATTTCAGCATGCTGTAGTGTCTCAAAATGTCAATATGAGTAATATCTGGGAATTCTTTTGGAATTTCCTGAGAGCCAGTTGTGAACTCCTACTGAACAGAAACCTCTACTTCATGATCACACTTCGGCGTTTCAGGTAGTGACCACTATATAAATTAGTGAGCGAAGTAAGCCATTATTCAGAATTGGTATTTCCTTTTATTTCATCTTTCCCGTGAAGCATGCCATTAGTGTTTACAATGATCACAGTCAGTTTAAATTAAACAGTGTATGTTTCAGTTCTAATAGCAAGATTAGTATTTATTGTATATATTTTACATAGTATATCTGTGTTTATATATATAATAAACACAAACACTGATTGAAAGCAAAGAAAAAAATAAGAGCAAACTTTTGTAAGATACTAGTATGCAGTGTGATAGTTCATATGTAAAAAGTGTATATATTTGCTTATTTACTGTGTATTAAGTAAATACTCATCATGGTGGAATGTGTCTTATGGGTAAATCATGATATGACACAATTATCTTTGGATTGTAGACTGTGTGTTTTGGGGAGCCTAGAAAAATAGAACTGACTCATTTCTACCTTAGGAGCATCCTTTCGAAGTTAGAATGATATTTATAAAATAAAATGTACTGACTAACTCAGAGATTCACTACTTTCTATTTCCCTTTCTTTCTGAATTGCCCCCTCCAGCATCTTAGTAACTCTTTTTGCACAACCCTGTATGTACAATATGTTGCTCCTCTTTTCCTCCTAGTCTGTCCTTTGAGAAAACAAGAGGCTATTCTAAAAATGGAAAGCATCTATGAAATGACTGAGTTTCACAGGAGTTTCAAAAAGTTCAAAAGAATGCCTTCTCTTAGACTCTAAAAGAAAAGGTTGGTACTTTAATCTGTTAGAGTTGGGCCGGAGATCCTGCCCCCTCGGTGGCCCCAGGTGAGCGCAGTGGCTCAGATAAATGCAGGTTGATCGGACTGTGTGTAGTCTCTCTGTTGATCACCTGCTGTTTCATGTTTGCTTCATGAAAACTTTTGAAAGACACAACATTTTGGTGCTACCTGGGTATAGGTTTCAGTACCTTGTTGGTACCAACATGTACCTTATGGGGCTTAATAAAATTAAGGATACAGAGTTTGAAACTGGGTGGATCTTTTGGAATAGCCATTTTAAAATTAGGTTCATTGCGAAATGTAATGTGCAAAGGCAGGATACACACAGAGAAAATCAAATATAGATGGTACAGCAGGAGGTCTAGGCTTGATTGACTTATCATTGACAGCATGGACTCTAGAGTCAGCTTCCTGAGTTCAGATCTCAGTTCTGTTTCATAGTGACAGTAGGGTTTTGGCATAGACCTACTGTGAGGATTAAGTGAGAGCATCTTCAAAGAGCTTTTGCAACAGTGTCTGACATAAAGCAAGAGCTTAATAAATATTAATGCTTATTACTTTAGTGATCATCATTATCAGTACAAAAGTGGGTATAAAGATTTACTTCTCTCTCAGTTCTGAATTACCTATATTTTGGACTCTGATTTTAGGTAGGACTTTTTGCACCGTAAGAGCAGGGATTGGTTTGCCTTCATCTTTGTATTGTCAGTGCCTCAATAGAGCAGGTGAACTTAATAAATAATGATTAATTGAATAAAAATGGAGGCCATCTACATATCCCCAAATGTATTGAGTAAATCATCTGATGTTATATCTTAATCCATGTCTGATTTTGATATGAGGTACATATTTTATAAAGTAATTGATGATGTTGCCTCGTAATAGGTGGGACTGAATGACCAGTTATTGGAGAAGGCACAATGAAATTCTGTGGGCCGACTCTGCCAGATCTTGCCTGGTGCTTTCTCATATTCCTTCAAATACAGCATCCAGTGTTTTCCACTCTACCACCATCTTGAGATGTAGGCGTGTGGTCCCCAGAGGCTGAGTATGTCTGCCTTCATCTACTTCAACTGGATGTGTGTGGTAGTTATCTTGAGAATCTGGAAAAGGGAAAATTATATTTTAGAGGCTCTTTCCATTCCTATAAGCAATTGAGATTTAACTCAGAAGTCATCTCCTCTGTGAAACGTTTCCAGACTCTCTGAGCTGTTGAAAGTCCTTTCTCTGTACCTCAATGAAATGTTTCCAAGTGTGTTATCATAGTCCTCTCAGCAGTTTGTAACGTGACTCAGAAGTTTCCATTTAGATGTAGAGCTCCATGAAAGCAGGAGCCAAGTCTTCCTCATGTGTAGACGTGAACCTCTTCATGCAGGAACACATAGTAAGAGTCTCCATGAATGTTATCTGTTTGCTGGTTGGTTGGATGGATGGAGCCGGATGACAAACATGCATGTTCTCTGAGGTCTGCT